ACCACACCTGTTATCTGACCACACCTGTTGTCTGACCACACCTGTTATCTGACCACACCTGTTATCTGATCACACCTGTTACTTGTTCATAATATCTTTTTTGTGTGTTTAATGTGTTTTTTGTGTTTTGTTGTGTATTTATTTGCATTGTGTTTGTTGTGGGTCCAGGTGAAGATGTTCCAGAGTACCAGCTGGCGTTCCAGGCAGAAGTCGGGAACCACCCGAGTTTTGAAGACATGCAGAGCCTGGTGGTCCGGCAGAAATTTAGACCCAGATTCCCTGACTGTTGGAAGGAGGAAAGCCTGGTCAGTTTCAAATACCCAGCAGCTCCTGGCAACCTGAATTCAGGGCAAAATGACCCACGAGAATGTCAGCTTTAATGTCTCTTCAAATGACCCAAATCTTACACAGAACCATTCAGAACTGCAGCGATTGTGTCTTTGTTCTGTTGTGTGTCTTCAGGCTCTGCGGTCCCTAATAGAGACTATGGAGGACTGCTGGGACCAGGACTCTGAGGCTCGACTCACAGCTCAGTGTGCTGAGGAGCGACTGGTTGAACTCGCACTGCTAACCCCACAAACACTGCTACACAACTACACAGCACTGCACAACCACAGGTAAACAAAGACCACAGGTCCACAATATTTACAAGTACACATGACCACAGGTACATATTTTAGGTACACAGACAGGTACTTATTGTAGGTACACAGACAGGTACTTATTATAGGTACACAGACAGGTACATATTGTAGTACACAGACAGGTACTTATTGTAGGTACACAGACAGGTACTTATTGTAGGTACACAGACAGATACTTATTGTAGGTACACAGAAAAGTACTTACTGTAGGTACACAGACAGGTACTTATTGTAGGTACACAGACAGGTACTTATTGTAGGTACACAGACAGGTACATATTGTAGGTACACAGACAGGTACTTATTGTAGGTAAACAGACAGGTACATATTAGTAAGTACACAGACAGGTACTTATTGTAGGTACACAGACAGGTACTTATTGTAGGTACACAGACAGGTACATATTGTAGGTACACAGACAGGTACTTATTGTAGGTACACAGACAGGTACTTATTGTAGTTACACAGACAAGTACATATTGTAGGTACACAGACAGGTACTTATTGTAGGTACACATGTACACAGACAAGTACATATTGAATGTACACAGACAAGTACATATTGTAGGTACACAGACAGGTACATATTGTAGGTACACAGGTACACAGACAAGTACATATTGTAGGTACACAGACAAGTACATATTGTAGGTACACAGACAGGTATTTATTGTAGGTACACAGACAGGTACTTATTGTAGGTACACAGGTACACAGACAAGTACATATTGTAGGTACACAGACAGGTACATATTGTAGGTACACAGACAGGTACTTATTGTAGGTACACAGACAGGTACTTATTGTAGGTACACAGACAAGTACATATTGTAGGTACACAGACAGGTACATATTGTAGGTACACAGGTACACAGACAAGTA